TGTCAGAGGGACAAAAGTGGTCTGAATTTCATAGAACTTGAAGAGATTTAATACTAGCTGGCAAGTTTTTTTAGCAAGGTGACGAATATAAATTTAGTTGACAACTAAGTTGGTAACTGGACATTAAAGACTGCCAGCGCTGGCATTTATTCAACCTACGTCTACTCCACCAGAAGGCAATCAATGGCTAGTTCCCAAACAGCTCAGGTAGTTTGCCACTCCATAGTAGCTATCTATAGGGATATAAGTCGTCTTCTAGGGATAAGTTGACAACTAACCTAGTATTAGTAAGGTGAATGTGGGCCCAGCTAGTCTATAGGCCAGATTCAAATATTGTGTTTAAAAGTATATGCATCCTCTCTAAATATAAGTTGTTCTTTACAAATTAAAAAATTGACATATGTGTGTCTGACCTTGCACCAGCAACATCGGGAACGCAATATTGCGATGATGAGGGAAGATCAGTATTTCAAGTTTAGGGCCAGCTGAATGAAATGTTTCGCCACTATTTAGGTCTACAGGTGACGCGCTAACCACGTCGACTCGAATGCATATTGAACATGACTTACTAAAATAGATTTAAAGAAATTCAGTCCGTATTCACTTGCACAGAAGCTTGGTAAATCGATACAAATGACGTCCATCTGTGGATCACAACTTCTTGATTCATCGTTGCAAAAATATTCGAAAAATGCACCTGCCTAAATATGTCGTGATAATTCTAATTAGGGTCTAAATAATTGTTTCCGCTTCAGGTGGTACCACGACCCCGGGACCACGACACGTTTGACCATGAATCATTAACATGAATACATGAATATCAATATTGTAACATCTGTTGAGTAAACGGGTACATTAGGAGATGTAAAATCAATCAGTGTTACAGACAAGTGCGCAGCATGAGATTGAAATAGAAGCGTAATTAATGTCCTACCTTCTCACGGGGCTGCCAAACGTCCAGGCCAAATCCGCCTTCCTCCTTCCCCGGGGGGATCGGGGTCTGGGCAGTGCCATGGCGCCTCTCGCGTCGCTGCGGTACAACCGACATTCCAACAAGAATTTAAAAATCCAAGGTAAAGAACAAACTGTGAGTGTAAAATTCCAAGTTATATAGATCCAAGGAAAGGCTGGATGTATTCCCAAAAGTGACTGTGTCCTAGAATCCAAATCCCAAATCCAAGAGGCTAAAAAGATGAAGCGTGAATTAATCCAAACAAGGGCATTGATCGCTCTCTCTCCGGTGAATAACCGATCAATCAAAATTTGCTCGGCAAAATCACGGATAGTATAGTTAGCCACGTAGAGAATGAATGTATGATGATGATGGTTCGCCCTCTCGTCCTGATTTATGGAATTGATCACATAAGCCAGTTCGTCAATATGCTCAAATATTCTTACGCCGCAAGGTTAATAAAACAGTACCACAGCGTCGACCGTCTGCGTAAGCTGAGGCGCGAAAGATCCAGACAGTAATTTGACAGCCAATCACCAGCACGTTCTGTGGAAATAGATAGCGGCGTTTTGAGTGTTGTGGATGTGTGTGGGTTCAGTGCGCGTACCAACAACCTGCAGCTAACAGGTGCCGAAGGGGGTAATGATCTCGAATTGCGAGACATACGGATCGTGACATAACACAGTTGGAAGTCAAGAAAGATATTCGCTTATTATTTGCTTTCCTATAATGCACTTTCTGTCCTCCAGTACGTGTTTAGGTTCAGGTTATGATTCGAATGGCAGAGCTCATGATAGTGAAGTGGAGGGGTGAGGTGAAAATAACTTTTTGGATGGGATGAAATGATGAGACAATGATAATGATTCACGCATTTATAAGGAGCCATGTTTCTGTTAGAAACATAGTCGTTATGCATGCAGATATGAAAACTTTGAAAATGCAGTAGTACTTAAGACAGGACTTACACGCCAGCAGCGTACGATGACAATAAATAAGGAGGCCGGAGATGGCATTAACCCCCCCCCCCCCCCCCCCCCCCCCGCTTTGTGGAGGTACTTTGGTATGGCGGTTAATTCTCTCAACTCTCAAGCCATAAGGGTTAAGGGTTCGAAACCCAGCCCGGCACTAACCTCATTTGGTAAGAAATTAATCCACATTTGCCACTCTCCACCCAGGTTCAAATGGATACGTGACAATGGAAGGGTAAAAACAATTGCAGGGCCCGCAGCAAGAGCAGTATTGATACTGATGTTGCTACCCGGGGTAAATAAGACCTGATTATCATCATCATATTTAAACACACACCCTCACACACCCACACTTACAGGCGTACGCAGGGGAGGGGGGGTTAACCCCCCCCCCTCCTTTTGTTTTTAACGTGTGTATTTTGGAGGACCCCCCCCCCCCTTGGTTATTTTGTTTGTTTTCTTTTTTTCTTTTATTTAAAAAAACAAAATAATGCTAATGGGTGACCTTAAAAAAGGTGACCATACATGCTATTCAATTTAGAATTTTGGTCGAAGGGTTTCATAGATCTGTCATTTAATTTAGAAACTGCTCAACTGGCATTCAAAATTAATTAATCGTCACTAGGCGTCATTTTTATCATTCAAATAAACACGTGTCATTCGTATTCGAATTATGTTTATTCAAGTTAGGAATGTTAGGGGGAAGAAGTGCAACACACGTTTACATTTTAACAAAAAGCAATTAAATGCATGATTTGCCATAAGGGTCTTTTCTGTTATTCCTTTTATTAATTTTGAGGACAATGCATATGGGTGTAGTCCGACATTAGGTAAAGTAGGGGTGAAATCAAGGGATATGGCATTTCTGCACGGACATGTTCATATACCCCGGAAAAGTGGGGATACAAAAATACCTACCCCAGTCACAATATTGTACCCTTCCTCCATAATGAAATTGTGATAAATTTATGATAGAAACACAAGACAGACAACTTCCTTACATGAAAATTTACACAAATATTGAGACCAACAAGTCCGTAGATGTAAGTCGTTTTTTCTTCTTAACACTCAAACTTAAAGGATGATGAATATCAGATAAATCTAAAAGTATATAAAGTGTCTAAATGAAAGAAAATAAAATATAATGAAATACACATGGAAAAAACAATCTTGAAAGAAAAAGATGCTAATTTGAATGCTACAAATGAATTCGAATGCTAAAAGTACACTTTCGCGATGTCAGAAATCGTGTTGAGCCAAATCGAATGACCAAATAGCGAAAGAAGCACATTACATGAAAATTTACACAAATATTGAGACCAACAAGTCCGTAGATGTAAGTCGTTTTTTCTTCTTAACACTCAAACTTAAAGGATGATGAATATCAGATAAATCTAAAAGTATATAAAGTGTCTAAATGAAAGAAAATAAAATATAATGAAATACACATGGAAAAAACAATCTTGAAAGAAAAAGATGCTAATTTGAATGCTACAAATGAATTCGAATGCTAAAAGTACACTTTCGCGATGTCAGAAATCGTGTTGAGCCAAATCGAATGACCAAATAGCGAAAGAAGCACATTATGCATTAATTTGAATGAAACATACATGTACATAGATTCTAACGAAAACTTCATAGATTTGAAAACTAGAAAAGGGAATATAAACCCAAAATATATCTTACAGCACTAAAACCGTCGAATTTGAACGCAAGAGAAATTAATTTAAATGACAAACTCCCGACTTTGGCCTGGAAAATCCTATATTTCATGTTTTCCTCATCAAAGAGTCAAATAGAACTATGGCACTTTTATTTCATCTCCTTTCTTTCCCCAATCTTTCTGCTGTTGAGGAGGGTGATCCTGCCCCCCCCCCCCCCACCCTCCTCTTCCCCAGGCACGTAGCCAGAGTTTGATGTTTGGGGGGGGGGGGGCACATACATGTAATCGATCGAGGTAAAAGAAATGGTCTAAAAAAGTTGAAACCGATCTTGGAAATTTGGGGCACACGTGCCCCCCCCCCCCCCCCCCCGTGGCTACGTGCCTGCTCTCCCCCCCCCCCCTCTCTCTCTCTCTCTCTCTCTCTCTCTCTTTCTCCCTCTTTCTCAATGTCCCCACCCCTCTCTCTCTCTCTCTCCCCCTCTCTCTTCCCTCTCTTTATCCCCACCCCTCTCTCTTCTTCCCTCTCTCTCAAAATTTATCGTTTATTTGAGAAGCGTGTTCCAAAAATCTCCGGTAAGCGGGGTTTTTTTTTTCGCGCGACAAAGTTCGGCCCGCCATTGACTTTCACAACGGAGACAGTGGGGGGGGGGGGGGGGTCGCTTTAAAAAAAAGAGGGGACAAGCATTTGCGCACCCTAAAAAACACTTAGTGGGGGGCCGGGCAAGGTCCCCAGGAAAGAATCATCCATTAATATGAATATGTTAGTAAACCGGTCTATTAGAGTGGTTATGATCGATGGTATTAATGTGTCAGATCCTGTCGCCATATTCAACGACTGGACATAAATTGTAATGGATGTCTACACTGTTTCATTAAATATTTCGATGTAATGTCTAGCTATGGAAAACGATTGGTAAGATTGCATGAGCTGAAATGGATTGATAAAGTTGTATGTAATGTATTGGCAGAATTATTTTCATCAATATCAGCACACTCCCGTAGTTTGGGAATGGAACCACCCTTTGTTCGACGTTTTTCTTTTTATTTGTCCCATCTTTCTTATTCTCTTCATGTTGATGCCCCCCCCCCCCCCCCCCGGTCCCCTTTCTCTCTCTCTCTCTCTCTCTCTCTGTTTTCATCAATCAATCTCTCTCACATGAAATTTTAAATTTGGAGGCACATCAACTGGCTTTTAAAGTGTATATCATATCCCCTTTATTGTATCTGTCCAAACTCCTCTCTCTCAGGTTTCCTTTATTTCTACCCCCTCCCCTCCTTTGGGGTATCCATTCTCTGCCCTCCAAAGATTATTTCTTCACCTCTCTTCCTCATTCTCCAACACTGACACTCCCCCTCTTCCTCATCTTAGTAAAAGAAGGTATCACATTCAAGATAACAAACAAGATTACAAACAAGATTGTTGTACTTTACGTCGTAGTTTAATTACCTCCCTATAGCTGCCTTCTCTTACAGTACTTACTCATTAAGTTACAGATGTACAACTTAATAGCCTGCATACACATACGATGTAATGCTTACCTTAACATTAAAGCTGCAACCATTACAATCCTATGTGTGCTTGAATAACCTTAACCGTAGCCTTAGTAATACACTTATTACACGTAAGTCTCTCACATAATACTTAAATCCCTGGCATAATTTCTTAGAAATACATAAATATCCTAGTTTACAAGTAATTACAGCTTAGATATCTTATATCTTAACAATACAAAAATTAATTACTGTGGCCCCTGTACAGTATTTTCCGTAGATGCATATACAACAGAACATCAACATAACAATTTAGCATTACTTTTTTGTTTTAAAGAAAAGATACCAACACACATTTTTGCCACCTTCGCCGTTTTGTAGCAGGCAAGAAAAGACTCAATCGTTGCAACAGTAAAAGACATTTCCTAGCCATACATACAGTAATACTATTGATGGAAAACCTTAGTGCATTGGAATCAAGTACATTAAATGTCTGGAGGAAAGAGCGCTGCTTCGAAACATGCTAATAATTCAAAGTGAAAACACCACTGGTCAGCCCAATATTCTGTATAGGTTAAAGAGAGAAATTATTAAGAGCATGGAAGTAAATAGTGGGGTAGACAACACTTTATAAAGAGAGGCTTATCAATGTATTGCAGAAACAAAGAGGGAAGTTAGTTCCCTAAATTTTCTTCAAGGTTTAATCTACAAACAATAGCAGGGTTTCTGGTTGTACACGCAGAAACATCCAGGGTGACACACACTTACATTATTCCGATACATACAGACCCTCTAATGAACATGTGCACCTCAAAAGGCACATTATTTTAAAACTTGGAAGAACAAGATGAAATATTACCCATTTCTCAAAGAGCATGACTTGAAGATGAGACTGATCGGGGCAATTAAGATATTCTTACACTCACATAAAGTGCGATAATGAAATATTAATCGATGTTATATATGGTCCTAGCTGCTTGAAAGAAAACAAAAACAATATCAAGCTTAAATTAAAGCTACATGTAATCATGCAACCTGGTAACAGAATCACTCTTCGAAAGAAATTGGCCTTTAGGACGATTTGCAGTAATGTTTGTACCCATCCTAGCTACACTGGGCAAGCTGGTTACGTAATCAATGAGTGAATTCCTGGTATTGTGCATACCGGTAGTAAATGCAAGATCAGCTTGCCCAGAGCAGCTAATGAACATATTTTTGACAGATTACGGTGGGAAATAGAACGATCACGATAAACAGAGGAAGCTACATGTAATATAACATAGTAGTAACCAATCATTGTCACAAAACAGAACTAAAAATTGAGAGATCCGCAGAGCTGGAAGAGAAATAGTCACAGATTGTGTATGTAAAAGAAAATTATAGAGAACAAAAACATTTGCAAGGTAAATTAATTCTCAATTTGAAATTACACATTCTGATGAAATAAACAAAATAATGCCACATCTCCACTCTGAATAGAAGAGTAAATGTAAATTTCAGACACTTTCAGCCCAAATTTCATTTTCAAAATTTTACATGTGCAGCTGATATCTGTAAAGTTCATATTGTTTGTTTTTTTATTGCATAATCTAACATGGCATTCACTTGCCCCCACTGCATTTAACTATCGTTCTCCTATTTTCAGCGATGAGTTGTAAATCTATTGACAAAATTGCACACCTATTAACGAACCTGAAATGCACCCTTTATCACTATATACTGCACACATTATCTGAGCTGATGATTTTAAGAAAAAAGGAAAAGTCAGCAATTAATGGGTTGCCCAGTTATTGGATTGAACACACTTTATGTTCAAATCAAATCATAATTGATATTCCAAATACAACTGGAACTATCATTTAGATATTTCATGCAATTATTTACTATAGTATCACTATCTGTAATCATAACTGGCAATTCACGGACAGTGACTTCCTTTTCCTCGACAAAAGTTATCCAGAACTTATTATATTCATTTGATGGAAGAAAAAACAATTTAACTAAATCTGTTTGCTGTAAGAAAGAGAGTGATCTTGAGCAATCTTTCATATATTATTATATTCTATTTTTATATAGTGCATAATACATCAACCTATGTACCCGACTGCCTACTGAATGATTACACTACCTTTATTAGCCTTTTGTAGGTTATTTTAATTTATCACAAAGAGTGCTTAGTAATAATTTTGCAATTTTGTCACTTTTTATCGAGATGCTGATGTAAAATATATGGTTAGAAAGTACAGAAGATCCAAAGTAATTATGCCCTGTCCTTAAAAAATATAAATAATAATATAATAATAATCATATTGTAATAACTGATCTTTTCATTTTGGGAGCACCTTACACATGACAAGTGTTCCATACAATGCAATATACCGGTATTCATATCTATGTATTAAAACATCATTTGAATAATGCCTTAATATTGGTCATTTTTATCCTGCTTCATGCAGACTTTATCTTTGCATCCTCCAGTAAAACAGTTCTTTTTCAATACATATGTAACACAATAATAACAGACATTAAACAATTACATGTCTCGCATGATCAATCACTATCGTATTGATTTCCAACGGAAAGACTGCATTCAAACTCATCTGAAAGTCATAATAGAGGAATCATATTTGAAACAAAAGAAGTACGAAGAGCATAATGCATTTCATCTGTTTGGAGCCAGAAGGGTGTTACTTAAACACAAAGTTAATGCCCTTCTAGCTTGTAACAGACGAGTTGATCGCAAAGGAAGATTTTTGTTGGTAGATAGTTCATAAAGATTAGATGCCAATCTGAGAGAGTAAGGGACAGTGTTATTAAAGTCAAACCTGCTTTAGGGACAGACCACCTGTCTACAAAGACCACATTTTGTGTTTCCCTTGAAAATGGTTTGTCATTGAATCATGTACTGAAGGAACCTGTCTACAAAGAGTTAGCAAATATTCATTTGAAATCAAATAATCTCTGTAATTCTTCATACAATACAAAATTCAAGAGATATTTCAATAAAGTCTAGCAAGATGCATTTGGATAGTCTTTTGCGAATCTATAATTTGTCATGACATAGTGTTTAAACTCCACTGAAAAAAATACATGAAATCCACTATTCCATAAATTACTACTGCATGAAGTTGAAAATGAAAATATCCAGAGACACGGATTGAAACTGAACTCCCATTCTAAAATAGATCATATTTGAGATTCAACTTGCACGCATTTTGAATTTACTTTCATTTGCCCAATACAATGAAATACAGGGTCAAATTTTTAAGATGTCCATACAGCCCGGATCTAAACTCTTTCCTCATGAACTACCTATCATTCACATACAGGAGACCAATAGAAATGATTCATAACAACTTAAAAACATGGAAATTCCTATCTCTGAAATAAATAACGTTACCGAATGTATATAACTCGACTAGAAAATACTGTACAATTATGGCATACATCAAATGCACTTAGAAATACTGATAGCTTAAGTAATAAAACTTACTTACTCGTAAAAAATAAGGCTTATTCCTAGTTCCCTATTACACACAAGAGAAAAATAATCCTGGGTGCCTTGCATCACAGAAACAAAATAAACCCTAGTTAACAAAAAAAAAATGAAAGATACGTTGTAAACTTTAAAGCTTCAGAGAATAAGACAGATGTCATGAAAAAATATACTATTACTGGGCCCCCATGGCTGCCTATCGTAACAAAATAATTGAATTTCAACTACAACTATGCGACGTTAAAAAGTTCATTTTTAGATAGGAGAGAGCAATTTGGGATTGCAAATAGAGCAGTTGTGGGTCACAAATCCATACCTTACTATCAATAAAATCTACCTTAGATTTTAGCAAAACATGTCTTGGACACTCTTTGCCATATTGTAGCTTTCATTTTTAACAAATGAAATGAATCTGCACAAGATACAGCTTTTAGTTCATCACAAGAGCGACAGTCTTTGAGTCTGCAAAACTTTGAATCCCATAAAAGAATCTCGTAATTAAAAGGTTAATTCCTTATTCATGCTACAGATTACACATGATGAAGATTCAAATATTAGTGATAAACATTCAAACCAAAGAATTTGACAACTTCATCCCAATGCTAGCTTACAACACAAATTTGTATAGCAGCAAACATTTCAGTTTTTGCTTTCTTTTTGGTTTTACTATTGCATGATACATACTAAAATGTAATTCAATACAATTCTTACTTCTTAGAATTTTTCGCAGGTTTAAGAAAAAAAATGTTACAGACAGTGCCCCAAATTTTCAAATGCAAATGCAAATGCAAAAACAAAAAAATTGAAGATTATTGCCGACATTCCTAGAACTCTAAAGAATCGAAAATCCATTACAAAAATTACAATTAAAAAAAAAAATCTTAGAGCTGCAATTACATGGCAAATAGAGACCTGGCAATTAAAAAAAAAAAAAAATACATATAGAAAGCCCCGATACAATGACATGATATAACTCTTATTGTACTCTTATTTCAAAATACATAAATCCTAGCACCTTACAATAAGATTCCTAAATAATTCTTCAATCCTGATTCCAACTAGTACCCTGTGTAACCCCATACATATAAACATAGACTAATCCACTTAGAGTCGCAACCCAAAGTCCCCTAGCCGTCAAGAATTCATCAAAAATGGCTTTCTTAATATATCGCGACATACCCAACTGTCCTTAAAACATCAGAAAAGGGCAGTGAAGGGGGAATCCATGGAATCCTAGGCCTTGTCAACGCTACAGGCTTTTAAATCATTTTGTGACTATCAAGCTTCAGTGCTACGAAAGGCAGCACGAGATCCACACTGATGGCTCAGTCTTGACCTCGGCCTCGGGATTTAATCCTGGTTTTGGTCTTGGAACCCCGTAGTACGACTACAATAACGAGTGGCCTGGAAACGCGATTAAAGTGAAAACTGATTCTTTTTCTATTCTTTTTTTCTATTTGAAGGGAGGGAGCTTCTAGTTGAGTTCTGAAAACAGTTGGTAAAAATAGAATTTGCATTTGAAATGACACCAAACAACCCAACACAGCTTTGAAAATGCTGTCGACTGACTGGGACGTTGTCAGCAGCAGATGGAAGTATACGTTAAATCTGAAGAAGTGTCGGTAGAATACCCTGCCTTTAACAAGAACAAAATCACATTCCAAGATTATTCATGGCCCTATGCATACCCAGTATTAGATTGGAAAAAACCGAGCTGGGAACTTTGGGTTGCGGTCTTTTTTGGAGATAGTCCGAGAGACATACTATTTCTTAAGATCATTTATAACTACCATACACTTTAATACCGCAAGGAATCAACAACATACTAGATATTCATACCCATAACATGTGCATCATGTCGAACAGTGGCATACATGGTGCAGAACAACTCTTCTCTTTTTCCCGCCTTAACGCAGTAGTGATGGGAAAGGTCGTGGCATGAATGTTACAGATGGTATGATAGGGTTCTTGTATCTGGGCGCTTTCCAAAAATAAAGGTGTCACTTTTGCCTTTGGACATAACAAATAGTGTACATCAAATAGCATTAACCATCATAAATATTCATCCTTTATTATGTCCTCGAACATAATTTAATTTGCGGAATATGACAGGTAAACTTCTTCAAATTGCTGTTTTAAATAGACTGTCTGGGTAACCGACCTCTCCAGACACATGAAGAGTAGATGTATTATCTCCTGATTATTCTTCTTTTTTCTTTGAGGATGGATAGATTGAATAACCATGATTTACAGAACCTTGTTAAGAATATGGGGCTTCCCATACACATGAAATAGTAAGAGATAGGAAGATATAACTAAATCCCTTACACCGTTTCCTACAATGAGACAATTATAGACACGTTCCCGCTTCCGAGAGGAGTAAGAAAAGCCACCCTTTGAGACTGAAAAACAAGAAATAGCTGGTTGTTTGTGCATCATACTCTGCACAACACAATACTTTTTTTCAAGAGTTTCTGCAGTAGTAATGCACACTGTCACACATTAAGTATGTATATTGCATGTGAATATTGCCCTTGCATTTTAAATATAACATCACAGTATTCATTACAGCCGACGATTGACCGATGCAACATCGACCCAAAAAAGAAAATAATAAAATAAGCACCCAATTACTCTTATTCTCCTCAAGAATGTAACAGCTATGGTATCCTTAACAATTACAAAATACGCACAATTTTTTGAATTTTTTCTTGAAATTTGTTTTCCAAGACATTTGCAAGACACATGCATACGTGCATTCTAGTATTTCTTTGAAAGTTGCATACAATCATCAACATGCAATAAAGATCATTCATTCCCAACATACACGGCATTCCTCACACTACCCCACCATATATGAATACCTACAAACTTAATGCTTCATAGTTAAAAATGCAGCTATATTCGTAGTAGTTACAACGTTACAAAGAGGTATATCCTTAAAAGTCACTCATCATCAAATACTATTTTGTGCTAACGAGTTGCCCTATCATTTCAAATGATAACATCTTTTTAATAAAAAATACATACATCCTTATCACCCTACGATCCTTAAATACACACTATACCTGGAATACTTGAAGTACTTATACATCAGATACATCAGACTTTTTAGTCCAATTTTTCTTAACAACTTGGACCCCCTCCTCAATAATAGGCATAATCATACTTTTTCATTCGATGAATGGTGGCACAACGCGCTCAGCACAGTTGTGGAAAAATGTAAATCCTTTACACACATTTTTTATTTCTGTTTTTGCGATTATTGGTACAAAAGAAAGAAAAATCTGAAGCTGGAAAAGACTGTTCTTTATCGTCCAGCTGCCTTGTCCGAAGGAATGACGAGCAACACACTTTCAACCATCTTACAAAATATCCTAAAATAATTCTTTCATCCTCTTTGGTCTTCTAAACACTAAAATAACTCTGAAATAAGCTTACAAGATATTCTTACCTTAAAAATTCTACATTAAATCTTAACCACAGCGGCTAAGTTTACTTAACAATACAACCAGCATGCTTCACAAAGACACATAACCATACTTTTGAAAGAAAAGGGACATGCGTCCATCATGCTCCTATCGCATACAAACCTATAGGTTTAAGAGAAAAAGGACTCAAGTCCATCATGCTTGTTTCTGAGGGATGCGATCCAACATGCAGTAAACATCAGGCAACACTGTATCAAGTGACAGGCAAACTAGAAACTAAGTACATCTTACGATAACTAGGAAATCCAGATGTGACTTAAGACATCCAAAACGACCAACAGGCTAGGCTGCACAGGAGCCAGATATATATGTATACGTAATTCTAAATTCAAAGTGCAAAACAGTTACTTGTAACCTATCACGATTTAATTTCCATGCTTTCGTGTACGACTATATTGGGAATTTCACATGATTTCTCTCTATATCTCGTATATTTCAGGCAGACTTGCCGTTTACACAGGCCAGATCATTCCAACTTGTTGTGCTAGCAGAATTATTGGGTGCTTGCTAGCCGATTTATCACCAAGAGGCAGTGTATCATATAAATAACTGATCTTATCCGAAGCTCTACTTACATAGTAAAATATTTCTGAAATCACTTCACAATCATCAACTTCTAGATTGCATTTTTTTCAAGAAACAACATTTTATGCATTGATTTAACTCTTAATGACCATGCTAAATCACGCAAGATTATTGCTGTGTTACACTGAGCAAAAGAGACAAATGAAAAGGAGCAAAAACTGTTGAAGAAATTACAGAGATTTAAAGAAGAAACTTGCTAGAGTATCATTAAAGACCATTTAAAAATTCCGTAAACAAGTGTACTGCTTGTTCTCAGTACAGCGAATGAGAGCAAATGATAATGCTTTCTACAGAAGAATTAATTTAAGAAATACAAGTAACTGTGTATACCCTTGCCACATCAAACAGCATAAACTGCAGACTGACATGTTTTGTTAACTTAAGCAGCTCGTACAGAACAATGGATGTTCAATCGTAACTTTTAAATCACAACTAATCTGAACCACAGGAAGATATGATGTAATATCTCTCGATCAAGGTTTAACACAATTCTACATAACACTGAGAATGCAAATGCAGTAGAATAAGCTACCAAATCACAGGCCACATATCCATAATAGTTATTCAAGCTACATGTTAATGGTAGCAAAATGGGTCACATACCAATCTTCTCCACACTGCATTCAAAACAAAAAGCATAAGCCTTTAACTGGTAATATATTTTGGTGATATGCAATAAGGAACTCTCAGTAGATGGAGTATATTAAATATGTTTTCACTGCAAGTGTACATGTTTGCAAAATAGTTTACCAAAGAGAATTTTTGCAACACCACAAGACCTCTAAAAATATCTAGTTTTTACTAGCCTTTCTGAATAGCTTACCAAAGGTGATGCCAACAATATGGATACTACAAAGTCTATAAATGTACACTAAGGCTGGTTTTATATCAATTAACTCCAACACACCATATACTATCTTAAACTCTACATTGAACAAATGGAGTCTTATCGTACTGGAAATAAATTTCATTCTAAAGCAAATGTTACAGTAATTTCTACATGTTGTATTTTGAAAACTAATAGCCAATGAAACTACGACAACATCCAATTAACCGACTGCTAATTGCTTGTAGATATTATGACATCACAATACAAATGGAGATAATCCCTGAAGTATTAGTAACTCAATATGATATATATGAACCTTACTGAAATACCATCCTCTACTGCCTAACGTAAGTGCTTAATACTGCCAACACAGTATACTACTACGACGACACATACATGTAAAGCCTGTGATGGAAATGAAATAGAGAGATTACGTTTTCAATGATTACTGACCAAACGCATGATGTTCTAAATAATTCATTCTTACTTATCTCAGCTCACTGCAAGAAATTTGTGATAGATAAATATATGTTTTTCATGTACGTACGCTTCATCTGTTGAAGTTATCACTGCATTACATGCTGATATATGCGATATAATCATTAGAATTTGCTTTAGACGACAGCATTGCTGAATAATCACACATTGTTGATGAATCTGAGAGAAAAATAATGATGGTGATCTCATAAATAGAAGAATAGCCGATCTGCTCACACATGGTGTCTTCCACTTGTTGGTGCGATTCTCTCAGATGAAATCATACCCCATCTATCGTTCCTCGTCCCACCCTTTGCTCCGAAGCTCTAACGAGTTGTCGAGAGCTGTCCTGCCTGCCCTACAGCCCGGGCGCAGCTTGCTCCCCCTGGCTTACCCTCCCCTACCAAGGCCCACATCAATCCTACCCCCATGCTGATGTGAGTTGCACCCCTCTGGCCCCTCCCTTAACAGGTGGTGGTGGACACCCCTCCTGAGCCCTGGTGCTGGTGGCCCTCCCTCGCTGCCTGGCCCCTCCCTCGCCGCTGAATGGCCCCTCCCGCTACCCTCCAAGGAGTACGTTGACCTCCCTTGGCCTGTGGTGGTGGATTCCCATTATATAGCTCTGCAAAACAAAAACAGAAATTTCCAAAACAATATATGATAGAGCTGCATCCACACGCTAATAAAATATTCATTAATCGATTTGAATTTTTGAAAAATCTAGCCTGGGCAAAGTAAATGGTTACATAATTTTCTGCATGATGGAGCAAAGTTCAAAAGCAAATTTCAGAATATACCCTCCTTGCTATCAAGAGCAAATCCTGCATATGTGAAAGAGAGAGAAAGGGAAAGAGAAAGAGATAGAGAGACAGAACAGTAATCTAATGTAAGGGTATTTATATTTTCTTGAATTGTTCAATTTTGTGCACTACTTTTAGAAAAGAGAATAAATAAGGTGTTGTGGTCGAGTGGATAGGTCACCGGACTGTCGATCATAAGGTTCGCGGTACGAGTCCCGCCGCGGCACTAATGTCCTTTGGCTAGACATTGATCTACATTTGCCACACTCAACCCAGGTGATGGAAATGGGTACCTGGCAGGAATTAATTCCTTGAAATGCTAGAGCGCCGTAATGGCCGCCTTGCTAAAGGCAGGGTAATAATCGGGCAGCGCCAGGAGCGTCGCAACATGGCGGACATGTGGGCTATATAAGAAGCCATTACTATTATTATTATTATTATAACTACACTGATTGACATGAGACGTACCATGTTTTGATGTTAAAGGTTGTACTGCATGGCTAGTCTCTGCCTGAGAGGAGGTGGGAATTGAGCTGAGAATGGCTGCCATTGCTCTTCACCAACCTGGTTCTTGAACCCATGTAAGATCTACAAAACAAACAGAAATAAATAATCACAGGTTATGATTAGAAAAAGAGTTCCATAAGAAAATGAGCATCAACCAGAGGCAATTTCAATAGCATCGTGCCTTTTTTTCTTAAAAATTTAACACTTCATGTGTATATCCAGATAAAACTATCCAGCTGAAATTGTTTGGCAAGTCACAGGCACGATGGTTCAGTGGTAGAGAAGTGGTCTGGTAACAGGGAGGTCAAGTCCATGAACTGGCAACCTTCAATAAGGCATCAATACTAAAAGAAAAATAATCACACTCACTCATAATCTTCCTATTGGACTGGCTGTATGATTTTCGACCTTAGATTATCAAATGAAGCACCACATACACCAAGGCATTGCAATTATTAAAGTCTTTTATTTTCATAATTCACTATTCAATTAAACAGAAGACCTGGGCATTGTTCATGAAGCAGTCATGACGCACTTTACTTGCAATAAACATGTTTCAATGGGATGTCGGTGAACTTGTACTTGTGATGGTTTTTTGAAATGCTGCCCTGTTTTCAAGATAACTAATTTTCAGAAAATAGAAATACAATTGCGAAAAGCTAAACAACCAGGAATATTCTTGGAATAACCAATATCTTATAGGAGAACATATTTTTGTTGATCTCACTTTCGTTTCAACACGAATCTTACCTTGGCAAACATCTCCTTCAAGTTTGGCTTTGGGTTCTGCCACGATGCCACTGCGTCACAGAAAAAGATGAAATCCTGCAAATACAAAGAAAAGGAAAGAAAATTGATAAACAATGCTTTATTTCTTCAGTCGACAGGTATTACAGTACATTTTCAGGCCCTATCTTATGAACAGCGGTGATCGCTTTAATGTGATCGATTCAAATAGATCGCAGCTTGATCTCAATCACAACTCTCTGTAAAAAATAATATTCAGTTCTTATGTACTACATATCTCATTATAGCCTCCCTATGCACTTCTAAAGAGCTTTAAAAATTATTACCCTAGCTTTAGCTCCGGCAGCCGTCATCAGCGCACAGTGCATTTCAAGGAATAATCCTACCACGTACCCATTTACCTCACCTGGGTCCAGTGTGGCAAATGTAGACTAATGGGTCTCTCCTCCTGGTATAACTGATCGGGATGTGCAGGTGGACCACTACACCGGGGTTTCCCCCTTCTCTTTAACGAATAGTGCAGTGGGTTCTTAACATGCGAAGGTGGTGACTCTCCTCTACTAGGGGCCTCCATTTAACGTTCTATCAGAGGGGTTGAGCTATGTCGCCGTGGTAGTCGATATTGATGACAAAGTTATCATCTACCTATTATCATCAGTGGTAACTTTTATAACAAACAGGCCTCCTAAGTTTACATTATACCGCCTCATTTTATATAATATTGAGAATATTGACATGTTTGCCTACAGGAACACAATAGGTTGCAATTTACCTGTACTACGCCTGATGGGTTGATGGCGATCATGGCACAGATACCTCGGAATGCTGAGTCTTTCTCTTCGTTATCACGGATGTTACGTAACGATGTACACCTGCAATAAAAAGGGGATCACACCATGTAAACATCAATCAGAAACAATCTTCCTACAGTTGAAAATATATTGCTGTACATACATGTGCGAGTCAATGGATTGTGTAGGCCTGTCATTATTACATTACCCAAACTATTGTTGTAAAAGCCGATAAGTTGTCATGGTCATCAAAATTCAGAATATGTGGCAGTACATGTGTTTTTATTTCAGTGTTTAGAAAGGGGTATAGATATTTGAAATTTGCAATATAATTTGACTATTATGTTCGCTATGAATTGAGTAAGACATTTAGTGAGCAATATTACCTATCATATGAATTGCAATTTTTCTTTTTTCTCTTTTTTTATGAATAAAGTTTATTTTCACTAGAGATAATATAGTGATCACAATCACAAATTACTCATGAAATACTGGTCAGGCATTCATAACAAAGTTAGAAATAAAAAATAATAAAAACATTTTCTTGGCAAAAAGTCATGTGCAACAATGCTGAGATTTCATGCATAAATGATGCAGATTAACATCAGTGATAGATAGACTAACGACACAGAGGCTTTATAAGTTTTTACCGCAGAGAACAAATGACTCAAGCTCGATGTCGAAAGTCCCCACATATTTCAAAGTTTCAGTTATTTTTTATTAGCTTTTCCTAACTACTGTCTATAAGTTGGAACCAATAAATATGCATGAATATTCTGCTGTTAAATCAACACAAAAGGCTGACATATCTATAAAATATGTAAAACAAACTAATATTTATCTACTACACAAATCACAAACCATTTTAAAAACAACTATTTCATGACCAATTCATATCACACAAGTAAATTGCCATGACAATATTAATCTCAAAACAATATGAGTATACGCAATTTAAAAGTAAAATGAGGACACCCAGGTTTGAGATCAAATGCTTCTAAAGACTTTGGTGTGGAATGAATAGGATGCTGCCCAATATGTTAAAACTATAAATATAACCTAGCAAACAAAATTTCTAAATAAAGTTTAGATCTAAAGAAAATACAAATTTTTGAAGGCAAATGCTTCTAAAGGCTGTTTCGTTTAGAATGAATAAGAGGCTGCCCAATATGTCAAAACTCTATATATAACCTGGCCAAACAAAATTCAAAATAATTTCTTTGGATCTAAAGGATACCATACCACTTTTTAAAGTCAAATGCTCTTAAAGACTGTTTGGTTTGGTTTTAGAATGAATTAGATGCTGCCCAATATGTCAGAACTCTACATATAACCTAGCAAAACAAAATTCAAAATAAATTTCGGATCTAACGAATACAATACCTGTGTTTGAAGTCAAATGCTCCAAAAGACTGTTACGTTTGGAATGTATAAGATGCTGCCCAATATGTCAAAAGTATACATATAACCTCCCGTAATAAATTTCATGATAGATTTGGATCTAAAGGATACCATACTCTTGTTCAAATTCTAACACTCATAAAGATGGTCTAGTTTGAAATGAATAAGAGGCTGCCCAATATGTTAAAACTATACATAGAACCTAGCAAACGAATTTCAAAATAAAATTTGGATCTGAAGGATACCATAATCTGAAATGCATTACAAGGAGTTATTAAAGAAGGAGAGACTGTGAGTACACACCACTGTCGGATAAACTGCGGAAGCATGGGGGCCACTGCCGCAGGACATACCAAGCCAAGCCGCCCTATCGTGATAGCTACAATGTGATTGGACGAAGACATCACAGGCAACGTACAGATGACCAATCAGCACGGGGGAGAGAAGATATAACAAGAATGGGAGGGGAGAAAGAAAGAAAGAGGGAGAGTGGTGGATGGGAAGAGGACAAAAGGTAAATAATAAATCAACATTACTAACAGAATGAGAAAAATGACATTAACAAAATATCACATGTCAAAACAAAATCGTTCAATATCGGGACAAAGGGCATACACCTCCTTAGGTCTTCATTTCTCTGTTTTTTGTATTCAGTTTTTAATCCCACTCATGCTTCTTTCAAAATTCTTTCCAAAGTAAAAAAAAAAAAATACAAAGTGGGACATTTATATGTTAATGAATGACCAAAATCCATTCAAAATGAAAACAAAAACAAGTGCATGCCTGTTCATAATGCTAAATAAAAATAATTCATTATCATAAATAAAAACTTTTTTTTTTTTTTTGAAGATGAAATAGCTATTCGAAAGGCAAAACTTATCTGTTTCTATATTTCAACTTCGCCCATGAGGTAAAGTGATTTCAGATTAAATTTCTCTCAAAACGAACCGGGTATGAAATCATATTCAGTGCATCTAGCACCTTTGTATTGAAAAGGGAACATTTTGAAAATGCAATTAAATCCTTCCTTTAATATTTACTAAAAAGAGAAATTCTTTTGTGGATACATTTATTGCTCAAAACTCTAAATGTGACCTTCCCACTAGCACGTTACCGAGTCCTTCGTCTCTCGCACCAAATATAAATTGGATAATCAAAATCATATTCTAAAATGGGCATCAAATCAGACAGTGAAACCGGGTAGAAACTTAAAAAACATGAAACTGGCGATTAACAAAGTCAAATTTATCTGATCTAATCATCATTTCTGTATAAATTCTCACTGACAGTTAACTACAGTAAGATATACAAAAAAAAAACATTTCAAACTTGCTGAAAACATGTAATAAAATCATGCAGTGAAGAACAATTATCATTGATGCATTGAACAAACTAAATGAGGACCAGTACATCGACTCCACATAATGAGCAGGTCACACTTCTCACAAAATTGCACATTTCCATCAAAAAGTATTAAAATATAAACTAGAAAGCAATAAATTTTACAAGGGTTTTTAAGTTGTATATGCACACATTTCCAACATCTTTGAATTGAATACAGATAAGCTAGCTAATAAGGTGCATATATGTATGTAACAGATATTAACACTGAATAAACATGAAACTGGGTTGCCAAATACTCGACAGAAAAAAAATAACCAAAGAGCAATCAATTCCTCTTTGATATGATCCGCTCATAACTTGCCCTAAAAAAATATCAAACTGGTCAGCTAGGAAAAACCGACATCTAGGAAGATTTTGCCCCACAAATATTAAGATCCACACCCCCCCCCCCCCCAACCCCACCTCACCTCACCACATGAATCTACCCAGAAATGTGTTTCAATGTTTTAAAAACGTTCCTTGACTTTTCAAAATGCAACTCCAGTGACACCTTTGGTTCTATAAGGATACCTGGTATGATGATTTAGTTGAAGAGGTAGGAAATATGAATATATATAGATAGATATTAACACAGGTGTCCTATGAATGCTGTAGAACGATTAACTTACCCGTGTTTTCTAGGAGTGTCTTTGGAGTGTTTGGTCGGTTGATAATCTCTGTTAGCTGTGTCAACACCTCGGGAATGAACGACTCCATGGCAGGACCTGATCATGATGAAAAAAGAAACTCGTTTCACTTTCAAAGTTACCTTACTTGAATCTGTATGCGAATCATGTGCAGGGTAGAAGAATCGATTTGCCAAATGTTTCAATGATTGAATGTGAAAGAATAATCTAATCATACATTCTCTACTCTCTCTTTCTCTCTATCTCTGTCTGTTTCTCTCTGCCTCTATCTATCTGTCTGTCTGTCTGTCTAACTCTCTCTTTCTTCTTTCTTCAAGAGGGAGGGGGTGCATGAGTTCCAAGGATAATGACACAAAAGTCACCCTTGTGCCACAACAAACTGGATGACCAAAATTTCTTATTCATTAAATAGCCTACCAACCTTCAATACAAATGTTACATTTCATAGACAGAACAGATGCATTAGAAGTGTGTACTGCCACCGGAAGACTGCTTTATTTTCATAGCCTGTCAGCATTACGGCTCGTTCAAAAATGAAGCAGTAAACCACCACAAAAAAACAAAGCCTTTTTTTGTTTAATGTGCGAATGAATAAATGAATGGAAGCTGCCCGCAACAAAGGTCCTACGCATATTCAATGAGCTCTGTGTTACAAGATACAGAAATGTGCGTGTTACACTTCATGTCATCATAAAACACCTGCTATGGTTTACTGCGACATATATGAATGAGGCATTAGACTGCAAGACCTTGACACCAACTCACCAATCTTCCCAGACTTACCCATCTGAATAGAGATTTCTCCTATAGCCCAGGTTGCATTGTTGCAAACTGAGATGAACTCTGGGTTGAGATTCTGACTCAGGATTGGTAGAAAGTCATCTACACGGAAAAGAGGGGAGAAAGAAAGGAAAGGAGTGTGAGATTGAAATTGGCTAATAAAGAGTGCATGATCACTTTACATCATTCCTTGAATCCGCTGCATCTTCATTAAATATCAATGTGGACAGCCTTATTCAAACATAGATGAAATACTATCTAAAGACATTCAATTAAATGATAAAATTCGACACGGCAGCATGCAGAACAGATGTCATTTAAACTGCATTATTGTATTTCATTGAAATTTAATTACATCACTGTAGTTCGTCATAATTTGCTTGTTATTGTTATGTTCTCTAAAGATGAAACGCGCTATAGAAGCCTAGGTTATCATTATTATTAAAAAGTAGAAACCCCAATGGAAGGAGATGATATAAGTAAAATTGGACTTACTGATGCATGGTTTGACCAGCTCAAAGCAAGCCTTAGTAAGATCACCGAGCAGAGCAAATGAACTCTGCCTAACCTCAGGCATCTTGTCCTGTTACAGGGAAAGAAAACATGGATAATAAGATTGAGACAAGTACACTTTAATAAGCCACCATATTCCAGAGGTATTGTCTACATCGAGTAACAGTCTTATTTAGCGACAAAAAACAAACAAACATTTATTTGAACAGTAAGCTAAAAAAATGGCAAAGAAATAGTGGACAAATCATGTTTTATAACACCAGAATTATTTCTTCTTTTTTTTTCAATTCTTGCACAATTCAACACTAAAAATGGTCCCCAAGAAGGAATCTTTGATAACTGCTTAGGATCCAGTTAAATCGCTGGGAGGACAAACTCCCCATCAATTTCTGAGTATTTTGAGTGTGGTGGAATATTTCCTTGATGTCCCTGAGCCTACCTGCATACACTGATAGAGTAGGACCATGATGTTGCTGTTAGCCACATGCTGTGATATGTGGCCTTCTAGACCCTCAGCCAGTCCACTCAACAGGTCCAGGGCTACGATCATGAAGTCCTTATCGGGAGGCTCAATCTCTGGGTTGGCGTTGGATGCCTGTATGGAAGAGAAGGGAAGATTTTGCCACGTTAATGCACACATCTGCATATTATGCAAGCGTTTGTTTCTTATTTACAATTGGTGTTAGCTCTTAGTTAGGGTTTTAGCAGTAATGAGACTCATCACTCGTTTAAATAGCCATACTCAGTTTACAAATGATTATTCACTTACAAAAAATAGTTCTAATATTGAATGAGTCTTTATCATGTTAATTTATTCATCAATGGAGCATTCTAATAAATAATGAAATGTTAACATCTTTTTTTTTTACATGCTTGTAACTAAGCTTCAAATATTACTAAACAATACATTTTAGAAATATTGTTCAGAAAATTTCCAAATGCTGATAATCAAAGAAATCCAAAATCCAATACATTATGAATCCACAATGATGATCCATTGAAAAGTTATTTCACATGGAGATAAAAACATACCATGATTTGTTCCAGCGTCTTCTGTGTTAGGGACACACATCTCTGGAACACAGGCTCGCTGTAGGGCAAAAAACCAGATTGGAGAGCTGTGGCTACCGATGACAGACACTCTAGGAGAGGGAACAGATCCTTGTCTTCGTCCTTCAACGAGTTCCACTTGGCGATGAGAGGTGGCATCAAGATTGCTATATGCTCCTGGGTAGAGAGACACAACAGTACAGAAATGATATAGTGAAACCTGTCTATAAAGACCACCCAAAGGAGATTAAAAAAAAAGTGGTCTTTAAAGGCAGGTGATCTTTGTACACAGGTGCCTATAGTACATCTGGTTTCAATGATAAATCATTTTCATGGGAAACAAAAAATGTGGTCTTTGTAGACAGGTGGTCATTAAAACAGGTGTAACTATTAGTATTGTGAAATGTCAAGTATCATCTAGCTTAGGGAACAGATCATTGTCTTCATCCTTCAAAGAGTTCCACATTGCGATTAGCGGTCGCACCAAGATTGCTTCAAGGAATCAATTGATTTGACACCGTGAAGCAGTGGAATGGGCTTTGTTACAAACAGCTCAGAACAAGCTCTCATGATCACAGACCACGGATGTGCATTTTTCCATTCATGTTCATGAAAGTTACGTAATCATTATTCACTAATGCACTGGCAGTACATTCTATGATACACCGGTTGTAGTATTCTTCTTAAGAGGGCAAACTAAAGGTATTCCTGAAGGACCTCCATCACTTTGGCAGTGATAATTCTAAAATGCACAAAGTGGGACATCTCCATGTGTAAAAGATCTGTGGATATTTGAGGGGTCATATGTACAAGTGCCATCTCCGAAATGGCTTATCCAGAGCTGCCAACCATTGAAAGTACAAAATTAGTTCTCCCTTCCCCCCCCCAAAAAAAAAACGTCCCAATCGACTACACCTACGCCTACCTCCTTGTTGAGATGATGGCCTACAGAGTCCGCCAGAGTGCCGATGGCATCATAGAGGATCAGCAGGTTCTTGTGCTGGTATTTACTGAATGCATACACCAATGTCTCCAGGATGTTGGGTAGGTATGGCACCAGCTCCGTGCATGCCTCTTCCTCCAGGGTTGCAAACGCACTGCACGCAGCCTCCTGCACTCGCTTGTTGCTGTCCAAGATTCTCCTCAGAAGCTGCCAGAAGATAAACATAATGAACGATGTAAAGACTCTTTTTATCTATTTTATTTATTGATTTGATTTTCAGGTACATGTATAAACAAAATAGAGATGACAACACAGAGCATATAACATGAAAGAGATACAAGACAGTGAAAATGCCACCAGCGGACGCCCGAGGATTACCTAAAAGAATTTCCATTCTGTCAAGAGGTTCTCCACGTCTGCTGGTGTTACATGTGAATAGATTTAAGAATTAACGGTAAAATAACATGACATAATTAAGATGTAGGATGCGATACACCGAGGTGATATACGATGATTTACAGCGGGTGTTTTTTTTCTTTTAATGTTTAATGAAATGCAATTGAGGGAGAGATAATGGTGTCCATGTAACAAGTGACTGACAAACACTTGCTAATGCATATCTTATTAGATGCATAACTGTGAAGAGCATTATACTTCAATCTTCTAGGAATCCACAATGGGCTATGCAGCCTATCTTTCCCCAGCAGTTTTCTACCGCATTATATAGGAAAAGCTTAAATGCCCATAGAAAGTTCTTTTTAAATAAATATATTAAAAAAACAGGCAGTACTTGTTCGTTGAAAAGATCATAAATTTTGTACTGACACATGCATACGACTCTAGACTAAAAAAGCCATTAATGATAGCAGTGGAAGCAAACTATCCTTTGACGCAATGTTGCTGGGGGTTGATTCTGCTTTTGAGGATCAACATTCAAAGACATGACACAAACGCTAATCGATGGACACTAATTGATGTTTTCAAAGCCCGTCTGCACTAGTTTGGCCAGGAGGGATTAGACCACCCAGTGTGGTCACTCACAGGTGGTTATCTCATCAAATCAGCTCTCAATTAACATAAGAAAAGGGGATCATGGGGGACCAACAGTCACCATTAGGCATTATTTGGTATATGGAGGGCACAAGTAGCTATCAGTAGTGCAGTGGGGCTTTAAAGAACACACTCACCTCTTGCATGAGTCTTTGGAAGTAGAGATGGTGTGGCTGGTTGATGACCCAGTGAGAGTAGCGGCTGAGCGTCCAGCAGGTGATGGACCGTACCAGGGCTTTCTTCTCAGACAGGCAGTCGATCAGGTAAGGTACCAACTCAGGCAAATGCATGCTCATCGCATTCACGCAACCTGAATCAAAACCAAATGTAACACCTGTATGTGCCAGTGACACGTATGACCAAAAAAGGCGACAATGGGTGATAATTTGCTTTCTTTGTATCAATCATATATATAACAATATTCATCAAGAAATTTCAATACAAATAGTACATGTAATAATGGGTAATGTTTGAGTAAAATTTGCATAAAAGACAACTCTTGTAAGAAAGAATATCTTTTTAAAGAAGAAAAAATGTATATGAAAATTCATCAGTAGGCCTATATACAATTCAAATTGGTATGCACTGTTTGTTAATTCAGAAATAGATCATGTACATGTATCGTTAACAAGAACAATGTATTCTCTTTTCCAGCTATATAATACCCATTTAAGCTTGATTGTCTTTGCTCACAATTTTTAATTGACGAACTGCCGATTTAGTAGACCTCACTCAAACAAAAACAAAGCCCCAAACTTTTCAAATAAATTCACATCATACATGATTTGTACAAGTTAAGCATATTCAACAGCTGCAAAGTTATCCTAATAGATGTAAATTTAACATGATGGGTACTGACATCAGCTCTGTAATATCCTTTCAGATCACTCCCAGACAATAAGCCAGTTCATAGTTGCATTCTGAGCATGAGCAGATAAAAATCTTTGCAGGCCAAATTGTGAAAAACATGGGAGACAAGATACTGCATATGTGCTCATGAAAGTTATGTAATCATTATTTATTTATGCACAAGCAGTGCACTCCATGATACACAGGTGGAAGTATTCTTTGAAAAGGGGAAACAAAGGCACCTCCATTGCTGTAGGAGTGATTATTTCAAAATGTACAAAGTGGCACCTATTCATGTTTTGAAGATCTGTGGATATTAGGGGTCATTTGGGACATGTGCTAACCGTGAACTGGTCTCTTGAACCCACCCCAGTCCCACACCACCCTTTCCACGTCAGTCCGACTACTCACCTTCTGCGATGGCCCCTAGCACTAGGATACCAGACTCCTTCACTTCCCAGTCTGTGCTGAAGAGTGTTTCTTTCAGGATCGGGAGAAGGACAGGCATCAGCTCATCCCTGAAGACATTGGCAAGCATATCCAGGGCAGCTGCTGAACATTTCCCTGAAAGTTGAGAAACGATGATACGTCTTGATATATCTAGCACTAGTATTTTTGTCTTATTCTCAAACTTAAATGTACTATGTAAACTTATTTTATTACGTAGATACTTATCAGTATTTTGTTACTTGTATAATTCATTTGTTCCATTATGCATTGTAAAACTGTATGGTTTATATATGACATTTTAATTTGTGGATATTTGAATGGAAAAATATATGAAATTAAATCAAATCAAATCAAATCTAGTGTGTTGAAAAAAAATTAGTTTCCTGATACAATAATCATGTCTCTGGAAAAAATAAAAATAAATCTGGATTTATATAGCACAGCGCAGAATATAAAATACAGTTTCTAAGCGCTTTATTGTAACTATTATTACCTAGGTTATCAAACTCACTGAATCACATTGGGCTACATCTCCACTCCCTGGGGAGTATTCCTACCATATGGTCACCGTGAGGGCATACAACAAATTTATTCTCTTACTACATGCAGTAGTGATTTTCATAATAACATCTCTGATGTAACACTACACAATTCCAAAGAAACATTTCATCAGCAATTATTACTGTAATTGCTTTTCAAATTTTGGCCTATTTCCATTACCACAAATCTGTATAACACATGTTCGAGTTAGACAAACAAATTGCTCCATCTCATGCGTCCACATTTGCAAGAGGTTAACGTACTAAATAATTCTACAGGCGTTGCTGAGTTTATTTTTGTTGCCAATTTGAATATCTTTACTTACTAAGATTCCAGTCTGATAGTGCATCATCATCGTCCATGCCATAGTCCGATGCTGAATCGCCCTGTAGAAAACATAAACGCCATTAAGAGAACATAATTATTGCAGAGTAAAAATAATTTACATTCTGTAGATGCATTTAGCATTAAAAAGAAATATCCATTTAGAGGCAAAATGAAATTATATTAATTTGCAAAAGGCAATCTTTACCCAATATGCACAAAAACTGAACCATGATTTCAAAACCTTAGCTTCTCTCTGCTAAAAAGTATTCTTCTCCGCAGACATTAATGTTTCAAAATGTTCCATTATATTCATGTGGACTTTGATTTTCCAACTTATAAAACATACAGTACAACTCAATTAACATTTTTCTCTATATATATCCATGAAAATAGCACATATGACATTATAAACTAATAACTACATTATTTCTTTTCTGGTTCATAAAATCGATCTATTAAACAAATTGAAAGAATCTGTTTCTTGAAGCAGCGGTTACTTTACCTCTTCATCTTCGAACGAATGTTGCTGGGCGTGAGTCTTGGACTTGTGGAATCTTGGTTTGATGTCTTGTTCATTGTCAGGGATCATCTCGTCCTCTTCCACGTCGCCTTTCAACAAGATGATATCGATCTCAGAGTACTTCATCCCCTTGATCAAGATTGGAATTAACCTGTGAGAAAAGATGAATAAGAGTAGCATACAGAAGATGTAAACATCAACTTGATTACAGATTAGAAAGCAGATGATAAACTTTAACCGATGTTCATATGACGTATAAACAATTGGAAGACCTGTTCTTATAGCATTTTCATTGACTTTGTTGACCATTTTATTTCTCCATTGCCACCTGCCTTTAATATCTTGTCTATGTCTTATTCATTGTGATTGTGATTACAGATTTCTTTTTTTTCTTCAAATTTGTTACAAATGTTTATATTCAAGATGATGTGAAAACTCACTGATTTGGTGAATGGGAGATCATTTGTAAACACCAAGAAGGTTGTAAGTACAGGTATTTGTTATTTTTGTTATCTTAAGTTTGTGGGTGGGTGTTTGATATGGTGGATGATCCACTGAAACACAGTGCTATGATAACTTAAATTGAGCAGTTTGAGGTTGCACTACAGGTTAAGAGGTGTACACTTGTAGAGAAGGCTGCCATAGCCACGCACTGCCCAGATAAGCAACCAATTACCATGATTTTCCATGACTTTGGGAGATTTTTTCTTATTTTCAATGACTTTCCAGTGTTTTTCATAACAGTGGGGATGTTTAAACTTCCAATTAGACATAAACTTCCACGCAACAGGAGAGATGTACATGTATATTACCTTGGTAAGTGAGGGGCTAGGATGTCTTTACAGATGCTCTGCTCTGCCAATGTCAACCAGAACTCACAGGCTTCCAAGGCCACAGCCTCATCGCCATCCTGGGTCCTCAAGAGAATGTACTGTGAAATGAAACAAAAAATTATGCTGTAAACCACCGCAAAAAGCTGCCACATTTTTTAATAAGAAAATGAATGGTAACAAACAACTTCACATATTCACCGAGGTCCGCATTTGTAAAACACAATTTAATGAGAGAATCATTACCATATCACTGGAACCAAATGTATCTCAATTGCTAAAATACAACAATTCAGAAAATGTTTACTTATTAATTAATCATCTATGACATGTGCAGTTTTTCCAACCACCCAACCCTATAGGATAAGTATGAACATAAGCAATGAAGAGAATATGGGACTAAAATTGCATCAACATGTCCATTTGCGAAGATGGATATTCCTTCCATTTAACTAAATAAAAACTACTATTTCTTGTTTTACAAAGGAAAAGAGATATATATTTCTACTCAAACTCAAAATTTAATTAAAAACTTAAACTTAATGTACTGGATAATGTCAGCAGCCTGCATCAATCATGACACCATTTTTATTGAAGTAATCAAGCAGATGTATGTTAACATTTTTTTGACTGGATCATTCAATTCCTCCATCTGCCGTGCACTGAACGGTCAGATGCGATCCAGAGTTCATAACCTATCTATCTTTGCTCCACCAACCCTACTCCATCAACCCCCTGAAAATGAGACTGGTAAACTCATCACATCTCCCAGTCTAGACAAACAAAGACTGGTATCAAATACCACGACCCATATCTGTCTACTTTAGTCAATAGCACTGACATTGCAGCAGACTAATTTGATTAGAGAGGAGAATAGATCAAATTTCCCCTAACCTTGTTGATTAATAAATGTGCATCTCACCCTGAAAGTACAAACATGATTACATGCAAGCACATAGAGTCTTAGCCATTTTTGTCCAACAAGCTTAATGTAAAAGCATTAGCTTTAAAGGCACACTGTCCTACTTGTAGCTACTTGCTCCCTCTGTGTAGAAAACTTCCCCAATCGGTGCCTGTTGGTCCCCCATGATCCTCTTTTTCTTATGTTAAATGAGAGCTGAGTTAATGAGATAGCCACCTGTCACACTGACCTCGCTGGCTCGCTGTGTGGTCTAATCCCTTCTTGCCCAGTAGTGGTAACGGTCTTTAAATGGCATGAAACTGTTAAAAATTCTACATGACAGAAATCCTCATAACAAGACATTTTGACAACTTGTAAAAATTCATTGTCAGGTCAGTTGCCATTCAATTATTACCCTTTAATATTAAATTTGCCAAAGTGTCATGCATGGAAGAGTTACAGGTTTCACCGTAGATAATGTAGCTTGGATAATTTTGCATTTAGGATTGAAAATAAAAATGAAATCGTGCCATATTATAGCCTTGCATACAAAAATGATAAGTAGGTGCTGAAAAGGATATTCAGCATGAAATCAAGCTATCCTGTAAGATAACCCACCACATTAAACAAATAAAGAGAACACTAGAAAATCCTAGATAAGAATTGAAATAACATCACATGACTTTTGATGTATACTTCTGTACCAGAACTTCACTGATGACTATATTCCACCACAATGATGATATCATCTCCTGTTACAATGCAAGAGGAAGATGAGGGATGATCTCTTACAAAGAAAACAAATTTACCTCAATGATGTTCTGCATGTGTGGGATGAGCCTATCTAGTCTCACTTCCAGGAGCATCACCAGTGCTCTGCATACATTCTTCCGTACCTCTGTGTCTTCGTCTGATGCTAGCGCAAATAGGTTCTGAAAAACAACAGGAACAAGACTATTATCAACACAACCCTATTTCTTTTGCATGAGACAGCTCAAGCAATAGACTGGTTTTAAAAAACATATTCAAATTTACGGATGTTTCTTTCCTGGGGACCTAGTGACAAGTTATTCTATTAACCTGTTAATGACAAAACTACTAAACTTGGAATCCAGTCTGCATACATTAAATGTTGCTAAGTCAGGGAAGCCTCGGGCAAGCCTTCAGGTTGTCAAGACCAACCTTTGTTTAAAAAGTATCCATAAATTTTGAATATGTAAGTAAACCGGTCTATTTCATCTAGCCCTTTGCTACCGCATAGGTTGTAATCTTTTAAATGTAAGTTATTACACAACACAGAGTTTAAAATTCAGCAGCGTTTATAATTCAGCAGCGTATTTCAGTTCTCACAATAATATAAATGTGACCAAGCAATATTTACAAACACTTATTTCATTACTGATACAAATTTAAGAAATACAGATATACAAATCAAGAAGTACACTCATGAGGGGAAAAACAACTTGGGAAGTATTGAACAAGAAACTGTGATAAACAGTTTGTTAGGGGTGGGGGGGGGGGGGGGGGGGGGGGGGGGGGGGGGGGGGAAGGGGGTTGCAGGTAAAATGTTTCCTGACAGCAAATTATACAGACAGAACTGAATCTCATTTATAACTGATTTGCACAGTCTGTGATATAATAAGCAATTCAACTGTTTTCATTTTCACCCATGTTCAAGTTTTATTTGCTAGTATTTGATCTTAATCTTTAAAAAAATGACAGGATGATCATTTCTATCTATAGATCCAGTTTGGAGCCGTACCAACTATTTTTAAGGCCTGGCATGTTATTTCTCTTTTAATTTAAAGCCTAGGAAATGTCTGGAAATATGCCAAGCTTGCGGTTGCATGTATGATGGATGACCTCTACCTCACATGCAAAACTGAATGCACTTTTCACCTGTCTTGGCCAGAGCGCACAAACGACACGCTATTCAATACATAGTTCATACAGAGTGGACGTTGGATTCCTTTGCCATGGAACCCTTTCAGGATAGGGATTTTTAAAGGGGTTAACTGATCACTCATTGTTTTTTTTAATTGGCAACAATAATGCTTTTGTTTTAATGCTATACAAAATGCAATGTCTCTGAAAATAATCGACATAAGTAGGAATTTCATCGAAAAGATGAAGAAATTGCAAAATTTGATCGAAAAAAACCAAAAAATTTGAACCTCTCGTGTTGCCAACATAATGATTTTAAGGCTCATTTCTTTTCATTAAAATTCCTGGCATCAAGCGCAATGTAATTATGCAACAAAAATGGACACAAAATATGTGCAGAAATTGTTACCCTTTCTTTTCATGCATCTGGGGGGTGTTTCACAAAGACTAAGATCAACTTAAGTTGGACTTGAACTATGGCAGCCCATTCATGCCACTGGTTGCTCTCACCATTATGATCTTTAGATAATATTTTTTCATTCAATAATGAATTATCAAAAAATGTAAATTCTGTAAATTTGTGACCATACGTCCCTTGAGAGACCGATGCCAGTAAACGGTAAAAGCAAACTATGGCATGAACGGCCTGCGATAGTTAAGTAGTTAGTCAAACTCAATTCGATCTTAATAGTCTTTGTGAAACACTCCCCTGAATGATAATATAACTTACATTCATGAAGGGATCTATATGCAACATCAGGCCTGTGTCTTGCTAATGATGAACTGGTTAACACACGCAATGGCATGTGACCTGCAAATGAAACAATAAATAAATTAATAACAGTAAACTTTGACCAAAAATGTGAGTAAAGGGGCAGAAAAGCCAAAAGAGAAGAGAAACAAAAAGAGACTGAGATTAGCAAGAATTAGGGGAAAGGGGGTATGAAGAATAGTGATCAAGAGATACAAATAAATGTAGGTCAATAGATTAAGAGAAAGAAGGGTAAAGAGATTTGGTTTTCTTTTTTTAGTGTGAATATTTGACCGTGAACATAATATTTCAAATTACTGCAACATTCTGACACATTTACAAATGTACCAGGCTATTTGTAAAAATTTGAAGATTGTAAATGCATTGAAAATATTCATTCGCACCAAAAGAAGAACATTCTTTCCTACATTAATGTATACTTTTAAACTACTTTACTATATTTTTTAATTTACCCGATATTGATTTTCTATGTATACTTGTACTTTGTCTTTAAGACGTTTTGTAAAACATCCTCTGAGGAAATAAAACTTCCAACAAGCTCTGCTTCTAGTTTGTTCCTCTTTTCTCGTGCTATTACTACCGGTATCATATTTGTCGTTTCATTGCTTATTTTTGTATAATATACTTATTCATTGTATTACATTGTGTGCGGGTAAGCCTGAATCCGATGACCGAGGTAATAATATATATAAATATCTGTAAAGCGCTTTGATAGGGCCTTCCTGAAAAGCGCCATATAAGAAATAGTTATTATTTATTATTATTATGCTTTGCATGCGAAATAAAATCATTTTAATTTAATACTCAAAGTCCTATTCCCTTGAGAGAGAAAAATCAGTCACAGATCCTTGTTAGTGTCTGCACATTAAGTCTGGATGATGGCATACTAGGTAATATAAGCTCTGTACTTTATTTGACATAGCCAGAGACTGACAGAGCAAGTCTCTACCCTAAGGTTCAGGAATTGTGGTAAAGTATCAAATTAGAGTCTGTGCATGCAGACTGTATGTGTGTTGCTCCATGATCCCTGTATTTTGAGGGTTCAGTGACACAAAGACGTAACTCCATATTTTGCCAAAATGAGTATTTGAAAATGTTAAGAAAAATGTGGGCTTTCCAGGAAACACAAAGACTTAAATCCACCCAACACCCCATTGAAGTCAATGGCTAGTGAAACATAGACAACTCCTAAAGGCCCAAGTGCTCAGTGACACATGAACCACTTTTTCTCAAAATGGCCAAAATGGAGTTACGTCTTCGTGTCACTGATCACAGTATTTCTAAAAATGGTTTTCTCCAAGATGTGGCATACATACCTGATCTTGGGGGAGGCATGCTTGAAGTAATCCAGCAGTTTTGGAATGAGAAAGTTGAGTGGGCGATCGAGAGCGTCGCTATCCAGGATGTCGGCCGAATCCTCGCAGATCTTCTGCAAGGCCCCAAATGATCCCTGTAAATAGATTAGGAAATCAAAACAATGTCATGGCAGAAGTACACTGACAGATCACAGTGAAAACCAAAATAGGGTTGAGGTTGATTCAAACAGAATGTTGAAAATGTTAATAAAAGTAAAATAATAAAATAACATAATTTGTTAACAAATTTGGGTAAAATATAAAATTATAAATGTAAAATGAGCACCGCGGTATGCTGTAAAGGTCTTGACTTTCATATGAGAAGCCCAGTGGTTACAATCCTTGGAAAAGGAGTTTTGCCCACATCTGTCCCTATCAACCCAGGTGAATTAAATGGGTACCTACAGGGTAATAATACACATGAAATTGCAGGGAAGGCGGAAAGCAGTATTTATGCTGATTTGGCTACCCTGGGGAAATAATTATTACTCACTCATCTTGAGAAAAAATTATGGTTAGACAATCATGCATATTTGCACACTTCACCATGAAACATAAACCTGAATCTAAGCAAAGTGCCTAGACCATCAAGTATTTCATTTAAATCACCCCTCCAAACCCAGTGTAGTAAATTGGCACCTGCTTTAAAAGGCAGGCTTTTCCTGTGCATGTACCTGTATTGTCAGTGTAATTATATCAGGGGTTGTAGTCTAAAAGGCACAGAGATTTTGCTGCCATCGTGCACTAAAGATACTAAATAGGACACCCTATCAAACTATTCATTGTATACTCCAGCATGTAATATTTAGGGGCTTCATTAAACTTTCATGCCGATTTACAATGCAAACATGCTACCTCCATTCAAAGCAAAGACTCCTGCATCACATAGCACACTCATAAATATACAGTGTATGTGGAATAAACGATGTGAGTGAAAACACGCTTCGCAAACGCCTCTCAGGCTCTCAACACCAGAGTAAATCACTTATTTGTGTAAACACATCAATCTGTCTCAGAGCAAGAGGAGAGTGTATGAGTGAATACATATCTCTACACCTTTCATACCACAGTAAATCATATGTGTGAGAATACACTCGAGAATAAATAACCTCCATGTAAACACGCCTCTAAATCTTCCAAAACCAACGCAAATCATCCTGTGTATGGACACGCCTCTTTACCTCCCATAGCCAAAGTAAACTATATCTGTGGGAACACACCTCAACACCTCTCACCACCAGAGTCAATATACCTTTGTATGAGTAGAAACAAGCCACTGCACCTCTCACACAGAGTTAATTATCTACAGGTGTACATACATATCTCTTCACCTTTCACAGTTCACACCAGAGCACATTACACACTCTAGAGTGGGAACACACCCCTACACCTTGCATATACTGCCAGGGCCCTTTGACATTTTCCAGTGGCAGCAAGATAGCGGGCAAGCATCATTTCTACTTGTCTTGTCTAGATGACGCAGATCAAAGTAGATGTAGTTAATCTTGGTTCACTGCTCTCCCCCTACATCAGTAAGAGCCCGGGGGCCCCCAGGCCAAGCCACAGGTTTACCTCACAGTCTTCCTTCAAGTCCTCCTCAACCTTTTCCTTCAAGTCATCCTCAACCTTTTCTTCTTCCTTTTAAAAACTTCACACTACCCATTTCCTTGAGATAAAAAAAAATTAATTGGAAATATTGCGAATTTTTAAGTCTCAAAGGGAACCAAAACCTTCATACAAAGTTACTTTTATTGTAAAGTTTAAGATATTTGAAAAATATCAGTGAAAATTCGAACAAAATCGGGCAAGGAATAAGGAAGGTAGAGCTTCTTGAAATGACTAGTCACTAGAGGGCAGTATTCAATTTGATGACATCATCTGTGGACAACTCTCCATGCCTTTTGTACATAAAATTTCACAAGGTTCATAACATGTGAAGTAGAATATCATTTTGCATTCTATATCTTGCTTTCAGGGAGTAGATTATCTCAATCACAAGAAAGAAGGAAAACATGAAATTTAAAGTACAAAAGGAATGGAGAGTTGTCCACAGATGATGTCTTCAAATTGAATACCGCCCTCTAGTGACTAGTCATTTCAAAAAGCTCTACCTTCCTTATTCCTTGCCCGATTTTGTTCAAATTTTCACTGATATTTTTCAAATATCTTAAACTTTACAATAAAAGTAACTTAGTATGAAGGTTTTGGTTCCCTTTAAGAATCCAGAAAATCAGAATATCCTGAATTTTTCAGAAGGGTTGGCAGGTATGCTTTATCCCTATTGATTCTGAAGCTTGACGTCAGAATGCAGAATATCTCAAGACTTTCTTTCTTCTGGTTTTGATTTTTTTGATGAGATGTGGCTGCACACCTAGCCACATTTACCTCAAAACTCAGCGCTGTCAAGCAGCTGTTTTTATTCTTCTCTCAATATTTTCCCTTTTTTTTTCTTCTTTGCTTCTTAACCATGCAAGTCCATGCCTAGCATTCATGTACATGTAATGTGTATAAAGTTTGCCTGTTATCAAGGTTGCTATCAGTTTCCTTCTACCTCCACAGATACAATTGTAGCTCGTTAACTACTGGATTTATACATGAAACAGACTTTTAACAAAAAAGTATTACATAACAAGGAGAACTAATTATTTTCATGCTTCAAAAGATTTTATTTTCAGGAAAAACAGATTTAATAACAAATAGATTGTAAACATTCCTTACAGGCCTTATCAGCTAATATGCATTGAAAAATACAAAAAAATCCTTTCAGATTTCCAGTGAAGTAACCTTGTCTGTATCATAAACTTAAGGGCCCGAACTCACAAAGCAAGGTTTGAGCTCAAACCTCCTTTTGTTCTTTACAAACCAGGTTTGTAAAAAACACGTAAAACGCGTCATATGACGTACGAAAACCAAGGTTTGTTGACAAACCTCCTTTGTGAATTCGGGCCACCGTATTTGCCGGCGATAAGGGCGCAGTGTTTTTGGAAGAAAAATATCAAAAAGTTGGGGTGCAGCCTTTACCCTACAACAACAAAATTCAGCGGTCAAAATAGCATGTCCATTTGAACATATGGGACAAGGATGACGAGACAATGGTACAGGACAATTCTAGAATAACTCCACACAACTTTTTTGATGATGCATAGTTGACATGAAGACGAATAAAAAAAGCATAACTTATTTTTCAAATAAAATCTGCCGATAGATCTAGATCTAGATCTAAGTCCGTACCATTGCATCGCCAAAAAGAAAGGACAGACCGTTATTTACGGAGCTAGCAGATGCCGCGCAACGCAAGGTAGCGTACGAAGGTGCTAAGGTGGTTAGGTCGAAAACGCAATTCCGGATTACACCGCACATCGTGGTAGGGGTATTGTAGGATACCAAATCTGTGTGCAATACAATACTAGCTTAAAAATTGATAAGATCTGCTAAGGCATGAGATATTTATTATTGCTGTCGTTCCGATGCAGGATCCTGCATGGAACGATCGGCGCCGATTTGGTACGCGCACTTTGCCTGACTGCAGTCTCCAAATTTAATTATCAAATTGAAATCGTCGCGACGCAAGAGGACGAATTTGGTACGCGCACTTTGCCTGACTGCAGTCTCCAAATTTAATTATTAGTTTGAAATCATCGCGACGCAGGAGGACGAATTTCAGTGCGCACATGCACAGCAATCATAAGGATGCGCTAGCTGAAGACACAGCGCGGCCGCTACGTACTCTCAGCCTAGCTAGCCACGTTGGCTATCTCCGCGCATGCATAGGCGCAAGCCAAATGGAGTGAGCGAGCTAGAGCGATTAGTTTTTATTACAAGCTATAGATCGATGGGTTTTACAATAGTGAAGTTTGTTTGCTAACAATTTAATTTCAAGCTATAGATCTAAGTATGCAAAATATAAATTGCTTGGGTTTTATCAACACATTCCATGATAAATCTAACCTCAATTCTGTCCACGACCTCGTGTAAAAAAGACGTATCGACACGTAAATCTTGACCCATTAAAATCTTGACCCATTAAAATCTAAACCTTTTGTCTATGTTTGGCTGAGAGGTATATTGCGCAATTCTGAACTGGAATGGAGTTCTATTTTGAGATTTGAATGCGAGGAGACAAAATGCCGCCCATTTGAACCCTTGAACTTTGTTTGAACAAAGGCCCTGCGCGCAATTCCTTGGGTGTTGATAAACAAACATGAGAAAAGATGGAGACAAGAGAGAGGGAGAGGAAGGGGTACACTTGGAAGATGGAGGGAGGGAAAGAGCGAGAGAATAGATTGATGGGGAAATTAAGTCTACGAGAGTCAAAATCGGGATAGATGTGAAAATCAATTGTTAATAAAGACGATAAAGTATCAAGTTATTTATTTAATACCCATGATTCTTTTTATAAAATTCTAATCGTAATAATGCGAAACTAATCTTGTCTAGTGTTCCTATTATTTAGACAGTCATTTTGAGCTCCTCGATCTATTCGCGGTGTAGGCCTATTTTGTTGCTTGTTTGTGTGTTTGTGTGGTTGTGATGTGCCTGTTTGAATTAGGCCCTACTTGTCATGTCATGTCGGTTATTTTTTTCGAAAATTGAAGCAATGATACAAAATTTTGATTATAAAATTCAGCAATTTTATTAAAATTGTTACGATCGATATGATTGAGGAGTCTTAAGTTCGCAATGCTAAGATCACGATACCAGTCATGACTCATGATAGCGAATTATCTCAGTGGTGATTTTAGAATTAAATCCCTTTTCTGCAGTATTTTAATGAATAGTCAAATATGGATCTCTGTTTAGTGACAATAAATATTCATTAAATTATTACACAAAGAAAACGATTCGTTGTACCGTTCTCGACTATTAATGTCCACCCCCCCCCCTCCTCCCCTCCAGCCGCAGCGTGGGAGCTTTGACATTTCATTAAATTACTAGAGAAAGAAGACGATTCGTTGTACCGTTCTCGATTATTAATCCTTGTCTGATTTCAGTTCCCCCCCCCCTCCAGTGCGAAGCGTGGAAGCTTTATATCATTAAATTATTAGAGAAAGAACTCGATTCGTTGTACCGTTCTTGACTCTTAATCCTTGTCTGA